CTCTTCTCTTCCTCTACTGGACCCTACTGCCCTGAACCACTTTCCCCACATGCACCATGACTCTGACGGCAGCAGGCTCCTCTCTGTTCCCTTCATCGGAAAATCTTTAGCTTCCACACAGATACAGCAATTCTCTAGCTCAGTGCTTTGCCTACTGGTGGCTGTGCCTTCTAGCGTAGGAATGAATTTAGTGCCATAATCATCATGACAGATTCAACGCAATGGTATAGAGTAGAACAACAGTATGATCTATTGGGCAAGGGCATCTTTCAGATGAAACATCCAGATATATACCGTACATTATAGTATGAAATAGGTCGTGAACACTACACTCTTGACTTTGGCTCTAGTATTACTCTGGCCAATTGGTTTCTCGACTTCTGCTTCAAATCTCTTTTCTCACTTACTGTTCAATTTCATGACGACTCCCACAACCACATCTTCCCAGGAAGCTGTGGGAGCTACACATATTTGGCGCCTGTACCCAGAATGGATACATTTCCCAAATGGGACTTTCCGTGTCTGCTACCCCACCCCCTTCATGAACGTCTCCAACCTCCTTTCACTTACTCATTTTTAAATAAAAAAGTAACCAAAGTAAATAAATATATACATATACATGCATATGTATATGTACATATTATATATACATATATATTAAAAATTCACACTAGATGCTCCTTGTTAGAACTGACTTAGCTCAACCTTAACTTTCCAGATGATGTCTTTGCTGGGCTACAGGGGGGTGCTTCATTCCAGTGGCCAGTATTCTTGGGTTTCCATACGATTCTGGGACACTAACAATGAGCCTCACCTTTAGCCTCAGCGACCTTAACAGGCCTTTCTCTTTACAAATGTAAGAGCCTCAGCAGGAGCTGTCAACTCACTGAACTTTGACAGTGGCTGATGCAGTGTTCTGGGGCTTTCCCATAAAACACGGCACAATACCGTATCTCCCTTTCTTCGCGTGCCGACCCCCTACTTATCCCTCAGGAAGACAGGAGCCCTTTGGCGGGCTGCTGCTCCTCAGCCAGTCCCTGCCCTGCATTCCCTCCGCTCTCCTCAGGGTTTGCTGTTCTGCCGCCCATTGCTCTTTTCCCGGTTGTTTGTGTTTCTGTGTCTGTTTCTGGCTTCTTGCCTTCTTGGAGACAGTGTCTATCCCTTCTGGCTTTATTTCCCCAATACGGGGGCGTGGAGCTGCTGCTGCTGCTGCTAGCTCTGAGCTCACATCTGCTAACCTGGTGCTTGTTCATCTGCAGACAAGACCTACGCACCAACAGATGGTGTTTCTGGAAGACCAGAAACACTCAAGAATCAATGTCTCAGGAATGAAAATCAACGGGGGGTGTGGGCTGACGATAACAACAACAACAACACACACACACACACACACACACGCACGCACGCACACACGCGCGCACACACGCGCGCACATGGATGGACATGTGTTAGTGGAAAATGCCACAGCTTTCTGTCCCTGTGTGGGCCCACTGAGACTTCTACGTGGGTCTTCTCACTGTGGAATTGAACCTCAGTTGCCCATAGTGGGTTTCTTCCCTTCCCTGCTCATTTCCTCTCTCCCTTACCATGCTTCCTAGAACTGCCCCCCAAATAGACAATCTGCACTGCAAGAAATGCACATCTCAGGGATTGCTTTCTGAGGAGCCCAAAACTGCACAGGGAAAGAGCACACACCATTTATCAGACAGAAACCAGGGAGGCCTTCAGCCATTGCTCACACCTCCTCCTGTCACCCACCTTGTTTCACTGTCTTTGCTTTAGACAGGGCTCAAGGTCAAGGTAATGACCTCAGGGTTGCCATATCCTCATTTTTCTTGGCACTAATTGTTCAGAAGACGCGCCCTTGCCTGATGGATTTGTGCATCTGGGGAGCTGGTACCACGGAGGAAATTCTCTCACTCTGCTCTGATCAGAACCATTTCACAGCTATGGCTTTTAACTTTCAGCATAGATTCAAAATGTATTCATGCCCACTTGGCTGATTTCCTTTAGCAAAGACTTTGCCTGTCCTTCCTCGGGATGCTCGGCTCCCTCTTTATTCCCCCTTTGCCCTCCCAGCATAGTAGGTGAGAGGTCAACTTGACAACTCAACACAGCCTAGAATCACCTGGAAAAGGAGTGTCTGTTGAGTTTGTTATGTTAGTCTGTGGGCAAATCCATGAGGCATTTTCTTGATTGATAATTAATGAAGGAGGGCCCAGGCCATAAGGGGATGTATCATTTCCTGGGCAGGTGGTCCTGGGCCATATGAGGATAGCTAGGCATGAGTGTGAGCCCCAGTCAGCCAGAGATCTAGCTAGTAGTGTTCCCCCATGGTTCATGCTTTGAAGTCCTGCCTTGACTTCCCCCAATGATAGATTGAGACCTGTGTGTAAATCCTTTCCTTCCCAAGTTGCTTTTGGTCAGAAGGTTCCTTCACAGCAAGAGAAAACTAACCAGAACAGCGCTGTTATCAAATTTCAGCACATGGTAGGGCTCAGTGAGGGAACGTCAACCACAAAAGGCCCTTTGGTTTAGTCAAGATGGAAGGGGAGGGCAGGATCTGCCAAGTGCAGTTCTGAGAACAGGAAATGATGGATGTAGGATGGCTGAACTTCCAGAACAGCCTGGACCACCCAGGGGAAGAACGTGCCGTGATGATCCTACAACTAAAGGAGGACACACACCATTTTGGGACTCTATGTTTTACAAAGGAGGAAACTGAGGTACAGGTATCATACACAGGGTTTGAATTCAGTCTGGAATCTGAATCTTGATGAACTCTACTGCCATACGACACACTGACTGATTTTTGATTGAGAAGTCAGCACAGCAGAGTACCATTTGCCTCTCGGGGCTGGTATGTGCTTGGAATGCACAGAACACTAGCGAGTGTGTAACCTGTTATGTACAGCTGCTGTAAGGCCACTCTTAATGAGTATGGAACTAAAACGATTTGTGTTTTCATCTGCTAGATGGATGCCAATCATGGCTAAAGGCAAGTCAACATGTAGCTGAAGCAAGGAGAAAGGGAGGCGTTCCAAAACATGTTTGGTTAAGTACATTGCAGCTGTTCCTTGGCTCCCGCACTTGAGTACAAATTTCAGCTGTGCTGGCTAGTTTTATGTCAACTTGACACAAGCTAGAGTCATTTGTGCAGAGGTATTCTCAGCTAGAAAAGCAGGCCACAGGCAGGCACCACAGGCTTGCCCCCAGGCAAATCTGTGGAGAGCCCAGGTTACTGCTGGTGGTGCCTCCCTCACCTGGGCTGAGCAAGCAACAGGGAGCAATCCAGTAAGCAGCACTCTTTCGTGGCCTGTGCATCAGCTCCTATTTCCAGGATCCTCCCTTGCTTGAGCTCTTGCCCTAACTTTCTTCCATGATGGACTGTTATCTGTGAGGTGAAATAAGCCCTTTCTTCCCCATGTTGCATTTTCTCATGATGGTTAGCCCAACAATAGAAACCCCAAGATAGAAGTAGACATTCTTTCAGGTTTCCTCCAGAATACTGATATTTTGTCCTTCCTTCTTTGCTAATAAAAACTTGATTCACATCTGCCTACAATTCACTTGCAATTCTGCTGGTGCAGGTGATAGGTTCTGGAAGGGAGCCCGGATGGCAGTTCGTGCAGAGTGCCTGTACCTGTAGCACACCCACTGCAGTGCCCGCACTGGGACAATCTTTCTGCCCATGACATTGAACTTCAGGTTTGCAGGCTGCTCCTAGAAAGTATGCCCTTGTCATTAGCCACTTTCTCAGGCCAGGATTTGGGTCTGCCAAATATAGAAAGGATTTAGCTCACGGTGGGTGCTGACTCTGACCGGAGGATCCCCAGATAGGCCGCTTGTGGCTCGTTCCCAGCTTGTCTCTCTCACAAGCTGCTGCCTACCACCTAAGCCCAAGATTCGGATGCTAAGATGCAAGGCAGCCAACTGCAGGGTATGTGTGTGTTGTGCATGCATGCTGAGAGGGAGTTTGACTCAGCTGAACAATGTTTTAAGAGCTTTTCCAACTTGGGGCTGCGGAAGTGTTGGTGTGATTTAGTCATGGTGGGCAGAAAGCCCCTAGAGAGTGCTAGGAAGTACAACCCAGAAAAAAAAATTCTCTTTTGAAAAAGAAATGTATGTATATATTGAAAGGAAAATAAAAGAGCAGAGATCTGGATTACATCTTGCTTTATGCCTCTATTCCAAATGTATTCCTAGGGCAGAGGGGGTGGGAGCTGCCAGGAGGCTCCATCTGGTTTAAGGTCACAGTCATACCTTCTGGGACACACCTTCCACGTCTCAGGGATTGGTTCCTGAGCTGGTCCCTGAAGGCATTGATCTTTCCTTGGGTTTCCCTCCACGTTCACTGGCAAGTCCTACTGTCTGTGGTTGGTGCTCAAACTTAGGCTGAATTTATCAGTTTGTGCACGTGTTTTGGGCTGTATAACTTAATTTTCAGTGGTCCCATGAATATTATAGATCCATTGTTCAGCCTAGAGAAACCGAGGAGCAGAAGGTAGTTTGTGTCTGTTTGTACAAGTCTCAAGGCGGCCGAATCCGCTGAGAGATGGACCGCGGTACCCCGCCTCCCCAAGGGGCGGAGCAGACAGGCCTGTTTGGGGGTCATCTGTCGCACACACGGTGTCGTACAACGGTGAACCAAATACTCGCTTTGGTAGGGAAAGAAATTTAGACAGCTCTTCGTCAGCTTTATCTAAAAGGTGACCTTCCTGAATAACTCTGGTAAAGCTTGCTTTTTGAAGCTATTCCCCCCACCCTTCTAAATCCCGCGTGACTCGCTCGCCCAGAGGTCCTGCCTCTCGCCGCGCCCTAATTCGGAGGCCAATAGGAGTGCCGAAGGGACAATACGGACCGGGTCTGTCCCTTCTGCCCCGGGACAGTACACTAGCGACCACAGTACAAACTTGTACGTCTTGCTCAACCCGTATCCGTTTCCCGCCCCTGACTCCCGAGTGCCAGTTTGCCCCAACTCCAGCGCTGGGGACACTCACCTAGCCACTCGAGGGCCGGTTCCGGGGTGAGAGTTAAATCCTGGGCGCTGCCCGGGTGAGCCCCCAGCAACAGCAGCTGCTGCATCCAGAGAAGCTGCAGCATTGCTAACCATTGCACCATCAGGCACTCTAGGTGGCCACGATCGTGTCCCCTGCACTGGACTTCGGTGCAGGAGGCAAGAGCAGCCTCCACCCTTCTTGAGGACTACGCCACCTAGGAGCCCTGGAGATGAACTCGCCTCCCTTGTCGCCACTGTAGGAATACTTTTGGCTCTGGGCGTGGAGACACAAATAGCCGAGTTTTCCCCGCCCTGCACACGGGGCCTTGGGGAGGGAGGAGGAAGAGGGACCTGGCCCCAGCAGTCCCAAACACTCCTGCCTTTGGGGTTCGAAGAAGGCAGGGCTGAGGAGGTCCCGTGGTTGCCCTTCCTGCTCCTTCAGTACCTAACCTTCTCTCACTCGGGGTTTGCTTCCCCCCCCCCCCCCCCCGCCCCACCTCGGAGGGTGAGAGAGCTGATCCTCTCCGGGAGAAGAAACCTACCAAGTGGATTTGCAAGAGGGTTTGGCGGGCCGCAGATGAGTAAAAAGGGCTGTCTGATGAACTCAAGCCTGGGACGTCCCTGAACACAGGAAACACCTAGGGGGTTTCTGGTCTCCAACACCCTAGTCTCCAACATCGCCCCAGAGTAACTAGAAGGAGCCTCCACTATCCAGCTTTATTCTGGCTTAAAATAACCCTAGGCTTCTGTTTCTTTAGATCATCTTTCTAATAAAATATCCCTGTGTAGAGTTGAGAAACCCAGCCAGAGAGGTGATTGACTGGATCTCCCTTACTCTTTAACTCAACTAAACTTTTTCCCTAGATGAGTAGAGACAAAACAACAACAAACAGATACAAGACACCAAGTCCCCAAACCCTGACCAGAGGCAGTCTTTCTAACTGCCCCCCTTCCCCCTTAGATAACCAGCCTTAACTGCACTGGAAGCATTCAGCTCACAAGGGAGCAGGTTTAACAAGACCCACCCTAAGCAAGACCTTGGAATTAGAGGACAGCAAGAGGGAACCTGGTGGGGAAAGGGGAACAGGTGATATGATCTTGGAGGACCTGTATGTCTTACGTGTTTTGTCGATTGCAAAACTTACAAGTACAGGTAGCACAATGCCTGACTCGGTAAACATGCCTCTGCCTGGAACTGATAGCCAGGAGTGAAGGCCAGAGTGAGATAGGGGCTCAGCCTTACAGGAGTCTGGACAGCTCTTGGGTGAAGGGTGAAATAAGCCTGGAACTCTGGGAACTAGCGAGGTCTGTGCACTTCTGCCCTGGTGAGAGCCTAAGGCTGGAGGCATCAGGTGTGTGGCTTAAGGAAAGGTGTACTGTCTGGTTGTCCTCTGGGAAGAAAACTGAAGGAGTAAGAGGCAACTGGAGAACAGAAGGAGAGATGTCCCGGCGTGTACCTCCAATCCATAGCGAGTCAGTGTATGCAGAAGTCAGTATCTATGCCTGAAAATATGTGAGAAAAGAAAAAGGCACATTGTGAGCCCAGCAGACCACACAGTCTGCAGCCAGCAACAGTGACTTTCTCTCCATTGACCTCAGAAGCACATTACTGTGGGACTATTGCCTATAGTGGGAAGATTAAGTTGCCTGGCATCCATCGTGGCAGGCAGGTGCAATCCAGGTGGCCTAGTTAGGTAACAGGGTTGGTTACAGATGTTAATCTCTGGAGAGAAGCAGGGCAGTGGGAATAAAGGGGGAGAGAGACAGGAGGATGTGGAGTGGGCTCTGTAGGTCACCCCATGCATGGGTGACGGGTGGTGGGATGGTGGGAAGAAGCTGCGGGCTGGGACAGGAAGTTGTAAGAGACAAAGGTTAGAAGGAAGAGCTTATACAGAGGTTGTCTGCCCGGGCTAGAACAAAGGACAGCCACGGGGCACCCTAGGAAGTAGGGCAACCCTAGGAAGTTAGGTCTTCTTCTTGCTGGGATCTCAATTTTAGCCACTGTATAATGAGGCCGGGGAGCCTTTTCTGATCCATGCGGAGAATATTCTAAAGCGGCAGAGCTCTGACGAGGAGGAGGGGAAGGGAAGGGAAACAAGACATATTTCATCCTCAGAGCAATTAAAGTAATGAAGAGAGGTGAGGACAGCTTCCTGGCCTGTGACACCACATATCCTCTTTGCCATTATAGACTCAAGAACAGCTACCGTTTTTATCATGTCTTCCCAGAATGTTATTATGGCTTAGAGGCAGAGATCCATGGTGGAATTTTTAGTCCTTGAGGAAGGAATGATTCTGCTTATTCTGGACTTCCATTTCAGGTTGGTTTGTTGTTGCTGTTGTTGTTTTCTGGAACAGGTTTTCTCTGTAGCTTTGGAACCTATCCTGGAACTAGCTCCTGAAGACCAGGCTGCCCTCGAACTCACAGAGATCCGCCTGCTTCTGCTTCCCGAGTGTTGGGATTAAAGGCGTGCTCCACCATTACTTCCTGCCAGCACTGTGACTAGCTTTCCCCAAACCTTTGTCTGTAGAATGGGGAGAAAAACATCTCGTTGTGGGGTCACGTTCAGAACGTATTAAATGAGCTAATGGAAGCGAAGTGCGTAGCACAGTCTAACCTGTTGTGAGTGAATACCCATCCCTGGTGAAATTACCTGGTGCGAGTAAGAAGGAAACACGCAACAAACCCGCTTAGGAGTTTATTAGAGCGGGCATGTCTGGGGAATCGGTGTGCAGAGAAAGAGAGTAAGAAAGCAAGTCCAGTTTTTTAAAAGCTGCCTAGCGCATGCGCACAGGGGGTTGACGTGACTACGTCATATGCAGATAACACAGATGATGGGCTCATGCATGTGCACTAATTGAATGGATGTGCAGAGGGGCTTAACTGAGTCATCGTGGACGTAACCACGCATGCACGCATGTGGGTCACGCGGGGGCCCTTTAACATTCAGGCATCTCCATGCTGAGGGCCCGTCTGCACGTGCATGGCTCCTTATGTGGCTGAAATCATTACACTTAGGAGCTGCGACTGTGTGGGGAGGAAACAGCCAGAGGAGCAGACTCAAACTCAGAACAAGACTACAGAACGGTGGGTCATTGGGGAGGTCTCTTGCCCCCTCTATTAGCATCCTGGCACCCCACTATACACCCCCTTTATAATAATAAGAATGCACCCTGCAGCCCAAGACCTTACCTGCCCATAGGATGTATACACACACCACTTTGAACAATGGGATAGGTTTCTCCTCCTCTTAACAACAAACTTAGAACAATTTGGTTGCACAGTCCTCCAGACCATACGGGACCAAACCGGATTTGAGTTCACGTGCAATAAGCCAAAACTGTCTTCAAGTTGAGCTTTTAGGGAGACTCTCCTATTTACCGTTTTATGACTGTGCACACTTGGGTGTGCATATGATTAAAATAAGATGGATTATGGGAAGGAACATGCACATTGAAAAAATGTCTATGTCAACCAGTCTTGCACTGAAACTAGAGAGCCACTCAAACCACATTCCTTAGTAAGATATGAGTCTGGATCCATTCAATTAGTCACCAGTCTGACTCGATAATTTTAGTATAATGGAGGCTTTTTATTATTATTTTTTTTTTATCAAAACAAAACAACAACAAAAAACCTGGACAGGACCCAATCAAAGAGTTCTCTAGGTAAGGCCATGACTATTGTTAATCCAAGGAATTCAAAGGCAAAAATCACAAAGTTACAATTTTGGGGAGCCGGGTTAACTCATGCCCTGTTTAGGTGCAGGCAAAGCTTGGTTTTGTGACAGATGTCCAGCAAATGTCTCCGCCATCCAAACAAACAAGGGGTTCATACAAAGGCAGCACTTTACAGTTAGCGTGTGAGTCTTGTGACCCCATTTCCTTGTAAGAATAGCTGAGGCAGTGAAAGATGTTACAACCATCAGCAGTTTTTAAGAATAGCTCAACTGCGCCGGAAGTCGTCCATCTTGGGCAAGTTAGCTGCCAGGGTACTTTTAAGATAGCAGCAGCTTCCTCACGGCTTGCGAGTTAAAAACAACTTTGTTTTTACAAGACTTTCCAACACAGTGAATTATCCTCTAAGCATAATGCTCACCATCCCAGTAACCAGCTCCTCATTCTTTTTAGATGCCATGAAAAGACACGCTGTGTAGTAACTCGGGCCCTGGAGTCTTCGCTGTGTGGCTTGCTATCAGTCCCTGTACTGTATTTCTTTCCGATATGTTCCATTGCTTTGCTCTGAACAAAAGCTTCCTTACCACTTTCCAATCTGTGTGGGTTTTTCTTTCATTCTTGAGTGAGGCCAAGAGCCTGGAAACACCAGGCTTAGGCCCCAGCCACCATTGACATTGTCAAAGAAGGGATCAAAAGAAAGGAGGAAAGAAAGAAAGGAGAGAGAGGGAGAAAGTGTGGGGTCAGGGGAGAAGGAGGGAAGGAGGACAAGAAGGGGAGAAAGGATGAATTTAAAAGGACTATAGTATTTGAAGTCATTAGAAACTTGATCAAACTGGTTGGGACCCGAAGTGTGTGGATGAAAATGCTTAAGAAAATGTATATGTTTAAAGCTCACTTAAAGAATGAGCTGTTACGCCCAGTCCGTGGGGACCCCAAAAGACTACCAGGGAGACCAACTCACTGAAATGCAAAAGCAAGGTTTATTGTGTGCATGTTTTCAAGCCGTCAGGGACCTCGTCATCGCAGCAGCGAGAGGAGGTACCCCACCCTTCTAGACAGCATTATTTAAAGGCAAAAATCAGAAAAGTTACATAAGCAGAGTGTGGGGTGATGGGTTCAATCCTGATTGGCTCGCATCTAGGGACTTCTCAGAAATTTTATTTTCGAAACTTGCATGTTGCTTGTCAAGTTTTCTTATGGCTGACCTTCGGGTGGGTCATTCTATAGTTATTTGTACTTTCCAGATGGCTTCCCTGTTACTTTTGCCCCTACTCATTTCTGAGGACTGGAATGTTTTATGGGAAATAGCTTACGCAAGACCCAAGATGAAGGCAGAGAACAAAATGGAGCAACTTTGGGTCTTCATTCCCCCTTGTTCTAGTAACTATAGTGAACCCAATCATGGTTCCTAACAGTTAACTCATGAGTATCTTCAGTCCTGAGGGGACTGTAGATTTGTGATCTCTGGACCATAAGTTGTATTGTACCCAACCTGAATTTTACTAGCCGGTTAAGAATGCAAGCCCCAAAAGTCAGTTACAAAAGCAGAATTACCAGCTGTCCCAAT